ACGCCGATAGTTACCCCCGCTAGCGTTGGGCCCTCAAGGGCCCCTCCGGGGGGCCCTACAGAGCCCCATTGTCTGCAGCCCTCGCTGGCCCCCCCATTCATCGCCCTTGCACGTGCCCTCTAGCAGGGCGGCGGCGTATGACGTCGCCGGATCCCAGTGGTGATTTATACGCCGCCACCTTTTCCTTAGGCACAAGAACAATCCATTGGAGGGTGTCGGTGTATTTTGTTTGTAGCGGGCCCATCCCCCTCTAGGGAGAGCCGCAGGTTCGGATACCGCTACTACCCGGATCTCTCACGCTTGCGTTCTGACTAGAACTTCGAGGCGAATCCGGCGGTGGTGACGAGGGCCGCCCAGGAGGCTCACAAAGAGAACAACGAGCAAAAGGCAGAGGTATGTTGGAGGCTTGGGAACGGGACCAAACACCAGCACAAGGGGTTGCCTCCACCGGGGGAAGCAGATCCCAGACGTTGGTATCGTTGGCAATCTCCCAGCCGCCTAGGAAGCCCGACAGTTACCACCGTCACCGAGATCGGGATCGCCATCCGTCGGCGGAAGCACACCGCCGACATTGGCGTTGGTGTCCATCTCCGGGCCTCCCCGTAGGGGTGCATTCTCCTCCGCTGAACCCCTCCCCGTCGCGGGGCACGGCGCGGCGGGCTCTCCTCACGAAGAATCTCATCAGCTGCTCCAGGCCGGGCACCGAGGGCAGCCTGGGGTGCCAGGGGGGAGGGAGGAGGGGCGAGGGCCGACGGGGGAGGAAGAGGAGGAGGAGGAGGAGGAGGAGGAGGAGGAGGAGGAGGAGGAGGAGGGGGAGGAAGGGGAGAAGGAGGAGGAAGAAGGAGGAAAAGGAGGATGAAGATCGACGCGACAAGCTCGAGCTTCATGTATGGCTGACGTCAGGAAGAGAAGGGAGGAGTTGGGAGGATCTGGGAGGAGGGAAACTGTCGAGGTTCGAGGGTCGAGAACCGTCCTTCGATCTCCAAACAAGGGTTGGGAGGCTAATCCTGGGAAGGTCTCCGTCAAGGGAGCCAGAGGTAAACCCGATGATTGGAGCCACGGATATGGACTGGTCTGGGATAAGCCAGACGAAACCGGATTCAGCGAGATGTAGCCATATTAAGCGGGACGATACAGTCAACCCGTATGATAAAGATGCGCGGAAAGGATGCAATGGCTGTGGAGGTTGGCCAACGAACATCGCTACGGATGGGCCGAAGGTGCAAGGATGCAAGGCTAGCCGTTGATAGTTGCTCATCCTGACGATGCGGGTTGACTGTACACTGATGTGGCTGGTTGCCGACCACTGGTTTCCAGCGCCGATGCCGAGTTGGACCCCTCCCAGGAGCTGCAGCCTGAGAGGAAGGGGGTCGATAGGGAGGTCGGAGGAGGACAGCCTGGAGATCGGGAGCGGCCAAAAAGGGAGTGTCCAGGAAAGGGGGGTGCATATCATGACTGGCGGCAGGTGCGCGGCTCAGCAGCGGGGCCAGGGACGTAATCAAATAAAAAGGGGGCGCCATGAAATCTGGGGAAATTTCATGGCCCCCGCCATGATATCCCCCCCTAGTCATCACCCCCCTCTTTGCCGCCCCCGAAAGGAGGGAGAGGAGGGGAAGGAGGGGGAGGAGGAGGAGGAGGAGGAGGAGGAGGAGGAGGAGGAGGAGGAGGAGGAGGAGGAGGCGGAGGAGGCGGAGGAGGAGGAGGAGGAGGAAGACCCCGATGCTGACCAATGGTCGTATCAAAAATCGGCCAACGCCCGCTCCTTGGGAGCGGGGCGCTGCAAACAAAAATGGATTTCTTCACGGATTTAGAAAGTGCAGTGTTCCCAGCTCCTGCGGCTGGAGCGCATTTTTTCTTGAGGTTTTGGGAGTTGCGTGCGGCATGGGCGCCGCAATTCGGACAAATGAAGGTGCCTTCGCTCGTGACTACCATTTGGTGGGTGGTGAACGTAGGAGGTGCCTATGAAGGCTCGTTCGACAGCACGGGCGCCAGGAACCGACGCAGAACCGCGCCAGGGGCCAGCGGGAACACAGACGGCCGGCAGGAAGGCTTGCGCGGTTTTACTACTATACGAATTGTCAGACACAACAGAAAAACACCGAGAGCATCGAACCCTTCGCAGGGAACTAAATCATAGGCGCTCTCGGCCCTGACGCGCTTGAACTTGTCCCACTGGGCCAGACCAACAGTAGCCGAGGCTCGCGGCTTGCGCATGGATCTGTCGCCGATGGGTCGTCTGGCTCTCGGGGGGTTTCTCGCCGGGCATCTGCAACCTACCCGGGACAATCTCACAGCCCTAGCGAGGGCCAGGAGGCTAACTCCAGCTGGACTCTCTTGGCAGTCTCGTCGGCCAAATCTGTCCGCTAGATGATTCCATACAAAATCAACAACTTGCGCGTGTTTCTCCGCCGCCCTCTCGGGGCTCATGTGTGACTCAGTATGTATAACCCTGACCTCGCTGTTTTTCATTACCTCCTCGGCCCTGCTCCACTCATTGACCCACTGCCCTGGAAGCTGGTTATGACAAACTCTGAAAGCATTCAAAAACACGCACCTGTAAGCCGTGACATAGATCAACCTTGGGGCAACAGGGGGCCCCCCCAGGAACTTCGGGAAAGCCAGCAACTCTTCGTGGTTGACGGTCTGGGCGCACCAAACAACTCCTGCCGGCAACGTCGCCAGCTCGAGTTTAGGCGTCGGGCTGGCGAGGGAGAAGGGTTGAAAAACAACATAAGCCCAAGCCACTTTGTGGAAGAGGCTGGACTCTGTGTGCTGTCCACCTGAGGCATCTCCAGCACCGACGAGAAAGGCGGCATCTCGCGGCCACTGGCCCTGGCATATGATCTCGGCCTCCTGCTCCTGAGGGGGCTCTGGGGGGTCGATCGAACTCGACGGGGTTAGACCTCGAAACCAAACAGCAGGGTGTGCCTCGCGCTGCGTGTCAGCTCGAGGTGGCCTTCGTCGCCGACACCTCTTCGTTGCAGCTGCAAACCCAAACTCCGCGGAAAAGCGCCTCCTCTTCCCCGCACTGATCACGCAGGACAGAACAATCAGGCGGCTTGCAGACATCGGCGACGCGACTCTTCGGCCATTTACCTTCTGAAACGACTGAAAGAACACTCCTGCCCGTTGGAACGGTTGGGATCTTCTGGCTGCAACAAGTTCTCTGCGAACATCATCGAGGTAGACTCCTCCTTCTACATCCTCGCCCCCGAAATGTTTCGCTGATCTCCACCGCATCCCCTTTCCAAATAATGGCGGCCATCTCCTCCTTCAAAAAGGAGGTGCCGAAACGTCCTAGAGCCGGAACATCCTCGGAGGCTCGAAATCGTTCCCCTTGGTCCGAAACCCAGTCACAAGGTCCCGCGGGGTCCCAGTCGATCTCCAGGAGGGCGTTGATACTGGCCCGTGTGGGTCCTGTTGCTCTCCTCCATCTGTGTCCTGGTTTACTGCGGGCTCTACGTACATGAACAGGCTAATCTCGAAGCGCGAGGGATCGCTCTCTATCGCCAACCGCGATGATGGCCATCCAAGAGTCGACCATTCTCCACACTTCGGCGATTTCTGGGCCCTTGTTGCCCAGCTCTGTCTGCAGGGGGGAGTCGAGGCACCCACCTCGGACAGAGGGCGACAAGGTGCGTGCAATGGCCCCCTCCACGCCAGAACTGAGGATGGGGCTTGTCCGTGCACGGCGGCAACGCACTGCTTCCCAGCTGACGCGACACGGCGCGCAGCAATCCGCCCTCGTCGACCTGCCGCCGCAAACTTTGCTGCTACGACGGACTTGTAGCCAAGCGGCCTTCCGTCGAGCGGCAGCCTTCAGTCGGACTCTCAGGTTGACGCCTCTGTCTGTGCCCAGCTATACTGCCTCCTTAGCGACAGTTATTCTTATGTCATGTAGGGCCATCTCCTGGGCCACTTCTTTGGCAACCTTCGGATCGGTGCTGGTGACTTTGGACTTGGAGGCAACATCTACGCGAGGCTTCTTGCAGAGCCTGCCGAGGGAGCTGCCCGCCTTGATGAGAGCCTGGGCGCCAAATTTGACGGACCCATAGGAGCTCTGCGTGATGTCATCGACCCAAGAGGACGCGTAGACCGCAGGCGTGGACGGGTCGTATACGTACTCCAGGATGCAGCAGGTGTAGGTTCTCCTGGAATCGAAGCCTCTGCGGGACCCTGCTATGATGATCATGCACTCCTGCGCGGGCTCCGAAAAGCTCCGGCGCCTCTGGAGATGCTGAAGGCGAGGCGCGCGAATCCCCCGAGCAATCTGATCTGGGGGAAATGCTTGGCGAGATCCTGCTCGGAGGGTCTGTCAAACTCCAGCGCGCCATCAGAGCCACCGATGTCCCACAACAACGATGCTGAAATAGCGCGCTCTGGCCCTGCTCCTGCGGACTCGTCCACGAAGGCCCTCAGAGGCCCCGCTCGCAAGCAGGGCGACCCTCTGATAGCCGCGCCCTGCTCCCACCTGGCGTGATCCACCCACTCTGCGGGATAGCACTTGCGCGCAGCACTCCAGAGCCTGATGGCGTCGAGCGATCCGCGCTGGGGCCTGCGCGCAACAAAGCAATCAACGCTGCGCGCAACTGCCAGGGCCAAGCACCCTCAATCTCACAACAGTTGAGGAAGCGCGCCAGATCATAAACGCCTTTTCGGAAGAAGGTATTGCAGGGTTCACAGATCTGTTCTATGCCCGCAGCCTTCGCGGAGTGGATGTGGCCGGCGGTCTCTCGCGCCTGATCGGTAGCCACAGGCGGTAGTGGCTGTTATCGTGCTCGTCGGTGCGCTTCTCGCAGCAAGCGAAATATCTTCTTTGCAGAGATTCGAGGGGTTCCGAGCGAGGATAATGAAGTGTTGCATGCATGCACGTTTGTACGTTTGGCTGAAGCCATTTTGTGATCAAGATCGCCCAGGCCTGAGGCGAAAAGGATCCGACCTCCACCTCACATACCGCTCAACATGGTAGCGGAGCGTGATCAGTTGCAGCCAGAGCTGCGATGGAGGCAGCTTTGCAGGAGCTGCAGCGGGTGGTCGGCGAGCAGGCCGCCCAGATCCAGAGGCTGACGGAGGGCGCCCAGGGCGCCCAGAGGCATGAAGCTCTGGTGCGGATGAGGAGTGGAGGCAATGGTGCTTCGTGTTCGAGTCGACGGCAGGGCTCGTCGACCTAGAGCAGATCATGACGCACTGCGAGATCACAGAGGAGACCGAGCTAGGCTGGGCAACACAGTCGGAGAGGGTCCAACTTAGAATGAAGGTGCTGTATCACTTGCTGATCGCCACGACGAGGGGCAAGGCCCTCACGATTCTCCAAATGGCCGAAGAACAATGGCGCCATAGGCTGGAATAGATTGAAGGACGAGTGCGAGCCGAAGTCTGGCGGAAGGCTGACAGCGATGCTCATGGGAGTGCTCAAGCCCGAGTGGGAGACGGCCATCAGGGGCGGTGTCCGCACTTGGGAGGCCGCCTGAAAGGAGTGGGAGAAGAACGTCTCGCTCTACGAAGCACAGTCCCTGGAGAAGGCCACGGAAGGCACGAGGATTGCTGTCGTGGTCAGATGGGCTCCAGAGGACGTGAAGGCCGTGGTCCGTCAAGCTCTGGGGGCGGTCGGCCATGACTACAACAGGCTGGCCAAGATCATCACGGACTACATCGCCAGCGGCAAGGTCTACGAGACCACGGGAGCGCCCCGCGGCATCCAGCACGACGGGCCCATGCCCATGGACGCCGGGCTGGTGAATGAGAACGGAGACGTGGGTGGCATCTTCAAACCTCCGAAGGGGCACGGCAAGCAGGCGAGGATCGACGCTGGAAAGGGTCGGGACTCGGATCGCGGCACCTGCAAGAACTGTGGCAAGCGAGGCCATTGGTCAAGAGACTGCTGGGCCCCAGGAGGTGGAGAAGCCAACCAGATAAGGGCAAGAGCAAGGATAAGAAAGGCGGCAAGGGAGGCAAAGAGAAGAAGAAGTGCGACAAGTGCGGGATGCCAGGCCACGAGGCCAAGGATTGCAGGCCACACACCAAGTGCGGCAAGTGCGGGAAGCTGGGCCACAAGGCTTCGGAGTGCAGATCGAAGCCAAAGAGTGCTGAGGTCAAGAGGATAGTCAACGAGGAGGACGAGCTGTGGGTCATGGGCGTCGCCGAGAGCGTGAACACCATCAACGGCGGCAGCAAGTATGTGTGGGTCTCGAACGACAGCGGGTCGGACGCTGATGGGTGTCCCCTCGGCTTCGGTCACCCGAGCGACGACGTCGAGGATCCCACTAGAGTGGATCTGAGGACGGCCACGAACGACGAGATCCAGGATTGCGGCGAGCGGAACGTTGGCATCGCGTTCCTGGACGAGACTGGCCACGAGGTGATGGCCACGAACCGATTTCGCATCGGTGACTTCAGCAAGCCTGTGCTCAGCTGCGGCATCAGAGTCAGAGGGGCTGTCATTCTCCTTGAGACGGGGAACAGCTACATGGCCCCGCCGAGCGTGAATGGCGTTCAGAGGAGGACACCCCTGACGATCATTGGGACGAGCTTCTACGCGAGGTGTCGGGTGCTGGAGGCGGGTGCTCACAAACATCGAGTGGCACCTGTGGTGGACCAAGCGGCTCAAGAGCAAGAGCCAGCACCAGCACCACCACCAGAACCTCAAGCAGCACCAGCACCACCACCAGAACCTCAAGCTGCACCTGCACCACCACGGGCAGGACAACCACGAGAGATCCTAGGTTCCCAGTCGTCGGTCGAGGCGCTGAGGGCACGCCTGAAGGAACTGCGGAGGCTTGGGACCATCGATGCGGCCATCTACGGCACCAAGAAGCAGCTATGGGAGAGGCTCGTCAAGTGCGAGCACCAGCTGGATGAGAAGATGAAGGTAAAGGAGGCCCTCGAGGAGCGCCAACGGCGACTCCAGGAAGGCGTCGATCCCGAAGTACCGAGGACGCTGAAGATCCCAGAGGGAACGGACGCGGAGGCCGTGAGGCAGCATGAGCTCACCCACGCGAAGTTCGAGCCCTGGTGCCTGGAGTGCGTGTTCGGAAAGGGACATGCCGCACCCCATCGGGGAGTCCAGCTCTTACGGATAAGGAGCCAGAGGTGCCTGTCGTGCAAATAGACTACCACTTCTTGAAGGACGACGGCGAGGAGACCGAGGATGCGGCCAACCGCTTCTCCACCACGCTGGCCGTCATCGATTGCGACACGGGTGTCCCTCTGCAGCTCAGCCTCCCAGAGAAGGGAGGCAACCATGACTACACGGTGACCTCGATCGTGAGCTTCCTCAGGAGGCTAGGCGCCACGCAGCTCAGGCTCAGGAGCGACGGAGAGCCGAGAATCGTCAGCATAGCGAACGCAGCGGCGGCCAAGAGGCTCAAGTTCGACAACTACAAGGTCACGGCGGAGCAGACCCCCAGGTACTCGTCGCAGTCGCTCGGGGCCGTGGGGGCGCAGCAGAAGATCTTGCAGGGCCAGACCAGAACAATCAGGGCTGCAACAGAGAAGATGCTGGGTATCAAGATAGGACCAGGTCATGTTTTTGTGGTCGTGGCTTGTCAGACACGTAGGCTTCATCACGGAGATGTTCCACATAAAGTCAAATGGACGGACTCATCATCAAGATGCGACTGGTACCAAGTACCATGGCGTCGTCCTGAGGTTCGCAGAGACCGCCATGCTCAAGCATCCGATGTCGTCGAGTGGCCACATGACTGGAGGCAGGCGCAGTCGCAAGTCAAAGTCGATGTGGGAGAAGGGCATCTTCTTGGGCAAGACCTACGAGAGCGATGAGTTCCTCATGGGGGCGAGCAGCGGGGTGCACTTGGTCAGGACCGTTCGCAGGCTCCCAGAGGAAGACCAATGCGACCTCGAGCTCGTGGCCAAGATGGTTGGAGCCCCCTGGGACCGAGGCATCGGCCAGATCGGAAGGCCGAAAGGCAAGAGGGTGGTCATTCTTCCGACTGCCCCGCCTGGGAACAAGCAGGAGGAGACAAGGGTCGACGACACTAAAGAGGAGAGAAGGTTCCAGACGCCACGGTGGAGAGGGGAGTTGCCGAGGACGGGAACAGCTACGCGAGTGCCAGGAGCAGGACAGGCAGCGGCTACATGGAGGATGTGGCACCCCCCACACCGAGGCAAGAGGCAGGCGGCAGTTCGTCATCTCGTCCAGCCCAGCCGACTGGGGAGTCAGAGGTCCCAGAGGTTGAGATGGGCACCGTTGCAGGCATCGGCGGCTTCGTGATGGATGAGATCGACTTGATGCCCGCCATGGATCCAGAGATGGACATCGACTGGCACGAGGGCGAGTATGACGTTGACCTCATCAAGGCAGGCAAGTGCAATGATATCAACGCGATGCAAGAGATCGACGTGTTCGAAGCCGTGTCGCCTGACGAGATAGACTCTACCTGGACAAGGCTGTCGACCAAGTGGGTGTACCAGGAGAAGGGCGAAGAGATTCGCTGTCGCTTCGTTGCCAGGGAGTTCAAGGGCATGGACCCTGAGCGCGAGGGGCTGTTTACTCCGGCCAGCGAGCCCACGACTGGCAGGCTCATAGATTTCAAGGCGGTGAAGCGGGACCAGCCCACCATCATCATCGATGCTGTCAACGCCTACTTCCACGCTGACCAAGACAGGCTCGTGGCAGTGGTACCGCCTCGGGAGTGGGTCGAGGCAGAGGCACTCAAGGGAAACACCACGAGGACGATGTGGAGGATGAAGAAGAAGCTCTATGGCGAGGGGGATGCGAGCAGAGGTTTCAGTGACTTCATGAACCGCACACTCGTCTTAGATATGGAGTTTGAGCAGTGTCCTGACCAGCCATGTTTCTATCGTCGAGAGCGGGATTCAGTGGACCTGGAGCTTCATCAGGATGACATCTACGCGACCGCCGACGACATCAAGCTCCAGGCATTCACGACCGAGCTCAGCAGCAAGGTCAAGATCAAGGTGAGCAAGTTACTCAAGGTGGGCGAGAAGTACCAACATCTGAAAGGAGGGCGAGTGAGAGGTCGAGGATGGCATGTTCTTGACGGGCAACAGGAAGTACGCGGACCAGATCATAGAGCTACTGAACCTCGGCAAGGCAAAGAGTTCGTCCACGCCCATCGTGACGAAGCTGCTGCAAGAGGACAGCGAGCACCCTCTGAACGCCGAGGAGACCAGTCTCTACAGACAGTGCGTGGGCATCGCGAGATACATGGTCAACTACGTCACGGAGGTCGCGTTCGCTGTTCACGTGCTGAGCAAGAGGCTGGCTGCGCCCACCGACAATGACACGAAGAGGCGCAAGCACCTCGGCAGGTATCTACTTGGAGTTCGTGACTACGCACTGTTCTTTCCCAGGGATGGAAAGGCAGATATTTTGGAGTGCTACGCCGACTCGGATTGGGCTGGAGACACCATTGACAGAAAGTGTGTTTCTTGCGGAGTGTTGTGCTGCGGCGGCTGCACGCTTCTCGAGTACTCGCGCGGCCAGAGCAGCCAAGCGTCGAGCTCAGGGGAAGCAGAATACTGCGCATCCGTAACGGCCGCTGCCGAGGCGATCCATCTCCAGAGCGCGATGAGTTTCCTGGACATGAACGTGAATATCAGGATCCGCATGGACTCTTCTGCGGGGAAGGCGGTCTGCCACCGCGTTGGAGTAGGGGGGATCCGCCATCTTGAGGTTCGCACCCTGTGGCTCCAGGCTAAGGTGCGAGACAAGAAGCTGGCGGTGGTCAAGCAGGCTGGGGAGACCAACCTGGCCGACGTGGACACCAAGGCGCTGACGAGTCAGAGGTTCCACTGGCTGAGGGCACAGATGGGACGTCGGCCGTTGGCAGGCGCAGATGATATGGAGGAGAGCACGGCTGTTCGGGTCAACCTCGTGAGCGACTCGACGTCCAAAATGGCGAGGGCCGGCGCGGCCCTGGTCGCTCTCCTGGACAGCCTGGGCTCGGTGAAGGCAGATGGTGAGTGCGACGTCTACGGCTACGAGAAGGACAGGAAGGATATCATCCTGCAAAACACCCGTCTTGGGACTGGCGTGCACCTCCAGGGCATGATGCTCATCGTGGCCATGATCTCCATGGTGATCGTGGCATGCGCAGTCGGCGGCTGTGCTGGCTGGTGCGTCGGCTACTTCATGAGGCCGAACCGCACAGAGGAGAGCAGGCAGATGAAGGAGAAAGTGGAGCTCTCCCAGAGGGCTACCAAGGCCAAGAAGGGGAAGATCGAGTACAGGACCGTCTCGACCCAGAGCCAGGTGACATACTCTTGGCATCGAGAGAGACCTAGGTTTGTTCCACTGGGAGATAGAGCTCAGGGTGCCTGGGCTGAGCGAAGCGAGCAACATGATGCGGTATCCCGCTGGAGGGGTCGAGAGGACCACCAGCGGAAGGGCTTGAGCGACACCGCAGCAGCGTGCTTTGCCTGCGGCTCGCGAGATCAGGTTTCTTTGACTTTTGAATACGGATTCCTCGTTGAGCGGTCTGATCAGCCGCCTCGTAGAGCCTCCGACATCGCCCTCAGGGGGCGCGCAGAGATTCGAGGGGTTCCGCGCGAGGATAATGAAGTGTTGCATGCATGCACGTTTGTACGTTTGGCTGAAGCAAATTTTGTGATCAAGATCGCCCAGGCCTGAGGTGAAGAGGATCCGACCTCCACCTCACATACCGCTCAACATTCTTGGAATCGAACCGTTGCGAAGTCCATCCCTTAGCCTAGATCCCTCTCTTCGTCTGCAACATCTCTCTGTAGGTGGCGTGACTGCATTTGTCGATGAAAGTCATTATCGACCCTGGCTTTGTTTTACAAGGCGGTGTAGTTTGCCCGCGTTGCTGCTCAGGTTGGTGATCATCCAGTCCCGGAAAGAACTGTAGCTCTTGGCCGCTGCGTCCCTCTTTAAATCTCCGACAATGGCATCGGCGCTGCCGGCCAAAATCTTCGCTGCATGGACGGGGGTGTTGCGAATGTCCACAAAGCTCGTAGGCCAGCGTGCTCGGCCTTGACCTGGTGCGACTCCGAGACCTTGCGGTGGCACGCTGACCGCGGCGCGATGCCATTGCCGCACCATGAAGTTTAGTCGCGCGCAACGTCGACCTCGAGCACCCTGCTTCAACCGCGATGGAGTCGGCCTGGGCTCGTGGATTGCCCCGCGAGAAGACCTCGTGGCCACCCTTGAATACGCGCCACCACTTGAGGGGCGTGCCAGCGCGACTTTTTGCCTGAGCGCGCCTCTCCCCGCCCACAGCATTGCCGCTGCGCTGATGTCGGTATGTCAAGCACTCTGCAAAGAAAAAAATCCATACACAATAACATGCGTCCGAACGTACTCCCAAGTCTCCCGGGCGCGTCTGGCTCATTTTGGCAGGGAAGAGAGCTCGAAACCCAAGGGGGAGGTGCGGGCCATGCGCTGTCGTTCAAAATGCCGCTTCTGCTCTCACGCCTAAGCTGGCCCACTTGGCTCGACTCCCGTGGGCCGAAGAACCCGGCCTGGCCCCGCTGATCCCCCTCGGCGACCTCCTCCTGCAGGTCGGGGCACGCGCCCTCTTGCCACAGGAGGTTCAAGGCGCCCTGGTCGCAGTCGTAGAACTCCTCGATCAAGTACTCCTTGGCCTGCTCCGGGTAAATGGCGCCGGCAAGGTCGGCGCGCTGAACCTCTAGGTTCATCACCTCGCTCCTTGGTTCGACGTTCTTGGCCTCAGTCACCACCGACTGCGCGGAATTCGCGTCGTTCTCGTTATCTAGCATCTCGAGAACATCCGTCTCCTCGACGTCCATAGAGCTGGAAATTCGCGCTCTCGCAATCTGAGGTGCAGGGGGAGCCTGTGAAACCGAACCTGTCGCCATCTGGGACCGCGGGGTGTGTGTGTGTGCCCCCGATGAACTTGTCGTGGGATCTGCCTGCTCCTGCGCTGGTGGCAGTAGCTCACGTCGTTGTCGCTTGATGATGCGCCCGATGTTGGGGCCCGCCTCCTCGCGGCGGGGCGCCGGTGGTAAACGCGGCCTGGGCGAGCTCAGCGCCCGGCGCCGGTTGAACAGTGGCGCGGAGTGCAAAACGAACTTCACGCTGTAGTGGCCCCCGCCGTCGGGGGAGAGCAGCTCTGGGGACTGGCGCAGATCTGCGAAACTCTGTGACGCGATGACATAGTCGAGAATCCTCTGTCCAGCTCCTCTCGTGGATGCGTGCGCGGCATTCGCAGGGTAGCAGACTCTCGCGGTCCACTTCTCGATCCACGCCCGCATCTCCTGGGAGGCGGCGTTGAAATCTCCGAAGATTGCCCATGGCCCTGCATGGGGCGCGATAGGAGCTGAACTAGTGAGCAGCTTCTCGACATTGGGCCCCTGGGGGGTGCCCGTAGAAGCATTGAAGGACGCACCAACGATGAGGAGTGGAATATGCGTTGTCCTCCAGATGCGGCAGCAATGCCACGAAACTTGACAGGGCCTGACGAAGAAGGCGCCGTTGGGCCGATCATCCCGCGAGCGCAGCTATCGTCGGCAGCCAGGTGACGAAAATCATGGAACAGACAATTCCTGCGGATGCCCATCACTATGCCCCCTGCTCTATCTCGCGCGCTCGTGGGGCACGCCGGGGAAACAATGCCAGCGCGTCTGTGCCGATCTAAAAAAAAGAAGAGGGCGTCATTGGCGCAGCCCGACGAGGTCGCCCGCGCGCCGTTGGAACGCGGGCCTGGCCCTGGCGCCCCGCGGGGAGAGATGGTGTAAAATCGCTGTGCGCGGGTTGGCCTCAATCGGATTATCGTGCTTGTGTTTCTTGGCGCAATGTAAACGTATAACATCATGCCTAAACTCTCGGCTCCGACTTCTGCATGGCCCTTTCGGAAGTTGCGGCGGCGGAGGACCTGGCTTCTTGGAGGAGGCGCTCCACGGCGTCCTTGTCTGGCGCCGTAGCGCCACTCGAGCTGCTCGCAGCAGCCTCAACAAGTGTAGGTGCGTCCACATCGTCGTCCATGTCGTCCGCTGCAACAGGGGCTGGGGCAGACGCGGCTGCAAGAATTTGTTCCGCCTCTCCAGGCAAACCTCCTGCTTCCGCTCTCCGTCGCTCGCTGGCCGTGCGATGCTGGAACTGCTCGAACTCCTTCTTGCGCGCGGCGATGACTTGGGCGGACGGGCCGACCGCTTGGACGATTAGGGGCGTGATGTATTTGGCGAGGCCCTCCTCGAAGTTCTTCCACTGTTCGACATCTGTCGTGCTCAGCTCGAGCCGCTCGAAGATGAAGACGCATGCGTCCTCAAAGTGAAGTAGACCCTCAGGAGCAGTTTCGTCTGAGTGGTTCTGGAGGAGACAGAGTGGACAGATTGATGGCGCCCGCTGCTGGCTGAGGCTCAGGATGCCCCGAGGACTCGCCCATGCCCGGAGCATTCTGCTCTTCTTGAACAACTTGCGGATGCTCAAACTATGCCGTAGCAGCGTCGATGGCCAAGCGATGGGCATTGGCCTTGGCCTGATCCATCCATTATTGGCATGGCTGCTCATGTTGGACTGCTTTCTGAAGTGCGTCCTTGCCTTTGCGGGCCGCCACGCTAGGTCCCTGAAGACGCTGCGTTCGAAATAAAACTGGTCGGGCTGGTACTTCCTTTGGGGCGTGTGCTTCCGTGACCACTTTTTGATATGGTCCTTTGCCTCAGGAGCATGCTTCTCCAAGCGCTGCAGAATCTGCTCCAACGTAGGCGCGAAAGGAAAATCCGGGTCCTGGACGCTTTGCACTGTAGCGCTCGGAGCCCACGTTTCTGGATGACCTGATGCAAAAGGACTGGGAAGTGCCGTGGGGGATTTCTTGCTGTGGGTCCACCACTGCGGAGCGCTGTCGCGTGACCACGATCCTTGAAACCGAGGAAGTGGCCCACGTGCGGATTGCAAACGTCCTCCGCACATCCAGCACACCGTATGGTTGCGATAATTCCATTGGTAATGGCGAGCACTCCAGGCGATATAGCCTGCCCTCTGCTGGCGCATCTTCTTCCCGTCACACGAACTTGCCGTGGGGTGCTCCTGCAGGAGCTCACTGGAAAGAGAGGCTCGCCCCCAACAGCGCGCAGCTCGACTGAGGTGGCCTGTGAGAAATCACTGAAAGCTGGCCGCGGACTAGCGGTATCGACTTTGGTCCCAGGGGACACAAGTACCTTGAGCCAAAATGGCTACGGAAGGAGAAGAAGGAGGAGAGGGAGGAGGAAGAGCAAGAGGAAGAGAGGAGAGGGGAACGGGGAGGGGGAGGAGCGGGGAGGGGGAGGAGAGGAGAGGAGGGGAGGTCCGAGGATAGGGAGCGGAGAGGGAGGAGAGGAGGATGAAGAGGACCAATGTAAACCCGAGGCCAATCAACGAAACTGGGCGAAACCCTGACTCCAGGCGCCCTCTTCGGAACCCCTGCACGTATTCGTTTCCACAGAAAGAAGCGCCCCGCTGGGGGATAACCGTGTGAACATTCTGAAGCGTACCAAAACACCAGTATCATGATTTCAACGCCACAAGTGAACCTCACTGTTGCGTCTTGGCGATCTTGAATCCTCAACCACGAAAAATGGTAATTGAGAAGCCCTGGCAAGCCTGAACCTTTCAGAAACACATAATATGGCACACTATTTTTAGGGATCACTGGAAACCTTGTACATGATTAAACGAATTTGCGCGGCACAGAAGCGGACATCAAACTTTGACAATGAGTCTTGCACATCTTGAAAGCGAATGCGCACGGGGCGAAGGTGATAGCCACATTCTGAAAACCACATGTCCTCAATCCGAGCAGCCCTTGCAAACACTGCAACGGATGTGCGCGGCGCTAAGGCGAAAGCTAGTTTGAAAAGGAACCGCCCTCCGGCTGTGACGCGATTGCCAATTGATTAAGTTGAGACTCGTAGATGATGCTAAGGAAGTCTCATGTGACATGCACAGCCCGCCCTTCCGGCTGGCCTCGGGGTGCGACAGAGAGATATTCAACAGGAAAATACAAGGAGCAGGAGGAGGCGGAGGTGGAGGAGGAGGGGGTTGAGGGGATAAGGAGGTGGAGGAGGGGGGTCAGACGGAGGGCCCAGTGCAGGAGGTGGAGGACGGGGAGGAGGAGGAGGAGGAGGAGGAGGAGGAGGAGGAGGAGGAGGAGGAGGAGGGAGGAGGAGGAGGGAGGGGGGAGGAGGAATGGGTGGAGGTGGAGCGAGCGGAGGGCAGCCAGGGCCCGGAGAGGGAGAGGGGGGGGAAGGAGGAGGAGCGAAGGCCGCACGGGAGGAAGCGGCGTCGTGCGCCGATGCGAGGGAGCGGGGGCCACCGAGGGTCCGCGCGGAGCGTGGGGTGGGGCACGCGGGGGCCGCGCACACCGTGGCGTCAGTGCTCACCTTTATGTTGCTCCCATCGCACTCGAGCCGAGGACCGCACCCCAGAAATCCGCCGACCCTGTCGGCGTGTGTGAGGGGCTTTTCCGTTCGAGCCGTCATCTCCGTCATTCTTTGTACTCGTCGTCTCTGTCCTTCCCTTTCCCTGGGAGACCTCTTCCCCTGGGCTCCAGCCAAACCGACCTTGAGCAACCTCGTAATTGAGTCGACGGGAAGCCCCTTCCCTTTGATCCCTCCCCCGCCGGGAGGGGGGGGGGTAGCGACCCCCCCCCCCCGGGTCAGATACGACGCCCCCCCCTGGGACTCCGCTTCCCCTGGGCTCCAGCCAAGCCGACCTTGAGCAACCTCGTAATTGAGTCGAAGGGAAGCCCCTTCCCTTTGATCCCTCCCCCGCCGGGAGGGGGGGGGGGTAGCGACCCCCCCCCCCGGGTCAGATACGACGCCCCCCCCTGGGACTCCTCTTCCCCTGGGCTCCAGCCAAGCCGACCTTGAGCAACCTCGTAATTGAGTCGAAGGGAACCCCCTTCCCTTTCATTCCTCCCCCGCCGGGAGGGGGGGGGGGGTAGCGACCCCCCCCCCCCGGGTCAGATACGACGCCCCCCCTGGGACTCCTCTTCCCCTGGGCTCCAGCCGAGCCGACCTTGAGCAACCTCGTATTGAGTCTTCCCTTGAGCCAAGCGACGAGATAACTTGGACTCCGCAACCGACCTTGAAACCTCGTAATTGAGTCAAGGAAGCCCCTTCCCTTTGATCCCTCCCCCGCCGGGAAGGGGGGGGGGTAGCGACCCCCCCCCCCGGGTCAGATACGACGCCCCCCCCTGGGACTCCTCTTCCCCTGGGCTCCAGCCAAGCCGACCTTGAGCAACCTCGTAATTGAGTCGAAGGGAAGCCCCTTCCCTTTCATTCCTCCCCCGCCGGGAGGGGGGGGGGGTAGCGGGGGGGGTAGCGACCCCCCCCCGAGTCAGATACGACGCCCCCCCCCCGTACCGACCTTGAGCAACGTCGTCATTGAGTCGAAGGGAAGCCCCTTCCCTTTCCCTTCCCCGACGGGGGGGGGAGAGGAGGTCCCTGGGGGGGTCCCGGGGGAGTCCCGGGTCAGATACGACACCTCCCTCCCCCACCTTCTCGTCCTTCTCCCCGTTCCCCCAAACCATCCCACAGCCCGTGCCTCTGGCTGCGCATTGCGAACAGGGTCGGCGGCACCGGCCGTCAGGCCTTCGCAATAATTCGAACACCCAGAGAAGTATCATAACAGTGTCGAACGAGTATCGCCTCGCAGGGCCCGGCACGCGAAAACCCTCCAGTTTCGGTACCTTCTTGGTGCTTGAAATTCTCTGGTGATCAAGGCTAAAGTAGGTTGGAATATCATAATGCTCACCTAACTCGGGGAAGATCGCACATGAAGAAGCCATTGCATGGGGTCGGGAAGGAACAACACTGACACAAACACAGAAACCAGAAGGTCCGCGCGGAGCTCCAACACCTTTGGTTCACGTCGCTGTTGCTTCTTCTAGGGGAACGAACAATCCCATAAACATAAAAAACAGAGGTCCGCGCGTATTCCTTGGATCGGCGCTGGGGGCCCCTGGCGGCGCCGCGCGCCACGGAAGGAGGTCCAGCGCCAATCCAAGCAATCCTCGCAGACCTCCAAGTTGTCATCTTTACGGTCAGTCCGTAGAAAAATGCCCAGGATGGGTGGTCGAGGGAGGCAAACAGAGGAGAAAGGAGGGACGAGTGTGGTCGAGGGTCGAGGAGGAAGAGGAGGAGGAGGCGAAGGAGGAGGAGGAGGAGGAGGCGAAGGAGGAGGAGGAGGAGGAGGCGTGGATTGAGGATTGAAGACCGAGGAGGGAGGAGGAAGACCGGAGGGCCGGAGGGACGACCCTACAGATTGCTCGGGTGCGCATGTGGCCCCGTCCTTGGGCCCGTCCTACTGGTTCCACTGCCCCGGAGAGCACGGTGGTCGAAAGTGCAGGATGACGACGAAGAGGACAAGGAGCAAG